CGATAAAAAATTAAGATGTAGTAAAGATGTTAATAACTTATATATATTGACTAAAATTTTGTCTTGAAATATTTCAAACAAAGACTCTATCGTGAAAATGAAATACTTATAGCCTTATAGCTTAATGGCGCGGCAGCTGTCCATTGTTGCAACTAGAGGCAGCCCACGTTAGCGGGTTTTATGCAATAGGCCGCCCAACTATTGCTTGAGAAAAGGAAAAGAACGAATGCTCAGCTTTTATGTTATCGGCGCCCGCTCTTAGCAAAATGCGGATTTGATCCCGCGAGGCAACATGAACACCAATTGAGCTTCTCTGTGATTGGTTAAGACTCATGTTTACAAAATATCACCAGAAATGGTTATGAACCGGACTTGGCAAGGGATCGCTGATGTAATGCCACAGGTAATCCGCATTTTGCTAAGAGCGCGCTCCGTTTCAATACTGCATAAAAAGCGTGCGCATTCGTTCTTTTCCTTCTCTCAAGCAATATAGTTGGGCGGCCTATGTCTATGATCATCTAGTTCAATGCCAAATGAAGGATAAGCATTGTCAGATAGGCAAACATTTTAAATTCGATGGGAAATCCGTTACAAGGAAATCCACCTATAGCGATGAAGGGATTTTTTCATTCTTCTACCCAACGCCTTCTTTAAGTAGACAAATTCCACGGGTCCTGGTGGAGATATGTTGAACCTAGTGTGCACTTTTTCGAGGATTTCTGAACCTTTAGCGTCTTGGTCGCTCGTGTATACAAGACATCTGACAAAGTTGTATCTCTGTTGAATGGCGCGTATTCCTATCCATAAAACACGTTCGCCTCCACCACCAGTATTGCAATATGGATGGAAAAAGCCCACAACGAAAAAGCCTCTCTCTCCTTCCTCGCTCCGCCCCAAACCCCTTCGAGAGAGMCTGATACTCAGGCTAACAACGACTGGTTTGWTGTTGGTTTGTCGAGAATCGACTTCTCGAAGATGTGATGACAATGAAMGCGTCTTCCKAWTTATTTTTATTTATTCTATTTGCCAGATACAGCCTGCTCCTCACAAACAAGGATTATTGGTTGGAAGTTCAGCATAAAAAATTTAATTTACAGGGAAGGGGATTTTAACAAATTAATTTTATTTTGAAAAAAGTCACTAAACACGGATTATTTTAAAAACACAGAGGCTGGCAAATTATTCCATTGAATTATTGTACTGGAAAAAAGGAGAGGTGTTCAGATGCTTTTGAGGTACTCAGAGGAATGAACGATTTAGCATGAGTACAGGCGAACGAAGGAAGGGGAAAAAGTATCATAGTTTATTGATAGTCAGTTGAATCAACGTACCCTGATCTCAGTAGACACTATGTCATATCCCGAACAAATTTAATGCATTTCAACCAAGCCTACAAACGCAACGAAAACTAAAAATTTCAGTGTTTAAAGGCATATACTCGTTAAACTTCCCATTTTTATCCACGATGACGATGTTAGTTTTATTA